CATCACTGATTCTGATATTCTGCTGTTCATTACTGTGACGCGATCAGGACTGTGTGAAGCGCTGGAGGAATAAAGCTGACGTGAGTTTAGTTTAAAATCATCCCATGATGATGCACCTGATGAAGAGCAGAGCTGGAACCTAGACAAAGATGAAGCTCAAATATAAGAGAGTTTTCATGTGTGTGTGTTACTTGTTTTCCCAGACTTACATCAGTGATTATTCATCATCATCATCATCATCACTAATAATGGTAAACTGCTATGAGCTGGTTCACCTGAGCTGCGGGTCACCTGTGCTCGGGTGTGTGTGTGTGTGAGGAAGACGTCGGTGATGATGGTCCCTGGTGAGCTCCAGCGCGCATGCGCAGTGCGGTGACGCCGCGGTGTGTGTGTGTGTGTGACCGAGCGGCACAATCCGGCACCGGAGGACGCGAGCGACCGGAGAAAGAGTGTTTCCCGGGATTATCCGAGTGAATTACCGGAGGAACCGGCCCGAGTAACCGTCAGCGAGACCCGGTGAGTGACGAGACAGAGTTCAAGCGCTCGGAGGATCGCGAGCTGCTCCTCTTCCTCACACACTCTTTCACTCTCTCTCACTCACACACACACACACACACACACACACACACACACACACGGTTCATAACTCACGAGTAACTAAGTTACTAACGTTAAGTCACAATGTTTCGCCTTTGAAGCTGAAGTTGTGTCGAACAGTTTCAGGTTTAATGTTTTGAGTTAACTGATATTTATAATATAAAACGTTCCGTCATTAGATGTGACATAAATCACTGAGGTAAAAGTGAGGTAAACGAAGCTACAACTGAGGTAAATCTGAGGTAAACTTTACTCTGTCGTGTCCGAGGAGAGTTCCCAGTCAAGTCTGGCTTTATTTGAGTCACAATCCTCTCAGGTTTATGAAACTGATCGACAGTATTGATCAGATTCGGGCTCTTTCTCCCGTGTTTGAGGGATTTCAGTGCTGAGCGCTTATTAAATGACCGTTGAAGTGTTTAAAAGCGCGCGCGCGCGTGACTGACTGCTATCCTGCAGAGATGTGATGATGATTGACGTTATTATGATGTTTGTGATCATATTTCAGGATTCTGTGGTGTTAGAGTGTGTTAGTAAGTGTGTTAGTAAGTGTTGTTGTTCACTGCATCACAATAAGAGTCCCGGGCTGCTCTTCCTCCCCCGGTCGCGCGCATCCTCCTCTTCCTCATCTTAAAGCGGAACGCACTAATTTATCGCTTGTGCACTTTAATTCAGTTGCCGAAAATATCAGCAGTTTGACTTTTGAGTTTATGAATTTATGACCGTGAAATGAGACCATCAAAGTTGTGCGTTTGATGCGTCTGCACATTTTGACAGCTGTAGGTCACGTGACTTTATTAAATATCTTCATGAACTCTTGCGGAATGATGCATTTCACAGAGTCTTTATTTTGGAAATGCATTAAGGCAAGCTATGCTGTATAAAGTTTATTTATGCTGCTTATTGCACATTTTCGAACTGTTTTACATAAAAATTAGTGCTGGGAAACAATTAATCGCATCCGAAATAAACGTTTGTGTTTACATTGGGTAATATGTGTGTGTGTGTACTGTGTATAATTATTTTATAAATACACACATATGCATGTATATACATTATTTATACATAATTTATAATATACCCTGGTATGGGTCGTTTAAAGCGTGTGTTAATGTGTAATTATAAATGCCATTACAGAGATTAATTAGTGCATGCATTGTTTAAATATTTAAAAACATGCATGTATGATGTGCATTGTGTCAAATGAATAATTTAAATGTCATTACATAGTATCAGAACCGCCCGTGACCCGATCAGAGCCATCTGACCTGATCAGAACCGCCTGTGACCCGATCAGAACCGCCTGTGACCCCGATCAGAACCGCCTGTGACCCGATCAGAACCGCCTGTGACCCGATCAGAGCCGACTGACCCAATCAGAACCGCCTGTGACCCGATCAAAACCGCCTGTGACCCGATCAGAACCGCCTGTGACCCGATCAGAACCGCCTGTGACCCGATCAGAGCCGCCCGTGACCCGATCAGAGCCGACGGTGACCCGATCAGAGCCGCCCGTGACCCGATCAGAACCGCCTGTGACCCGATCAGAGCCGCCCGTGACCCGATCAGAGCCGACGGTGACCCGATCAGAGCCGACGGTGACCCGATCAGAGCCGCCCGTGACCCGGTCAGAGCCGCCCGTGACCCGTCAGAGCCGCCCGTGACCCGATCAGAGCCGACGGTGACCCGATCAGAGCCGCCCGTGACCCGATCAGAGCCGCCCGTGACCCGATCAGAGCCGCCGGTGACCCGATCAGACCCGACGGTGACCCGATCAGAGCCGACGGTGACCCGATCAGAGCCGCCCGTGACCCGATCAGAGCCGACCGTGACCCGATCAGAGCCGCCCGTGACCCGATCAGAGCCGCCCGTGACCCGATCAGAGCCGACGGTGACCCGATCAGAGCCGCCCGTGACCCGATCAGAGCCGCCCGTGACCCGATCAGAGCCGCCCGTGACCCGATCAGAGCCGACGGTGACCCGGTCAGAGCCGACTGACCCGATCAGAGCCGACGGTGACCCGATCAGAGCCGCCCGTGACCCGATCAGAGCCGCCCGTGACCCGATCAGAGCCGACGGTGACCCGGTCAGAGCCGACTGACCCGATCAGAGCCGCCGGTGACCCGATCAGAGCCGCCGGTGACCCGATCAGAGCCGCCTGACCCGATCAGAGCCGCCGGTGACCCGATCAGAGCCGCCGACTGACCCGATCAGAGCCGCCCGTGACCCGATCAGAGCCGCCCGTGACCCGATCAGAGCCGACGGTGACCCCATCAGAGCCGACGGTGACCCGATCAGAGCCGCCCGTGACCCGATCAGAGCCGCCCGTGACCCGATCAGAGCCGACGGTGACCCGATCAGAGCCGCCCGTGACCCGATCAGAGCCGACGGTGACCCGATCAGAGCCGACGGTGACCCGATCAGAGCCGCCCGTGACCCGGTCAGAGCCGCCCGTGACCCGTCAGAGCCGCCCGTGACCCGATCAGAGCCGACGGTGACCCGATCAGAGCCGCCCGTGACCCGATCAGAGCCGCCCGTGACCCGATCAGAGCCGACGGTGACCCGATCAGACCCGACGGTGACCCGATCAGACCCGACGGTGACCCTATCAGAGCCGACGGTGACCCGATCAGAGCCGCCCGTGACCCGATCAGAGCCGACCGTGACCCGATCAGAGCCGACGGTGACCCGATCAGAGCCGCCCGTGACCCGATCAGAGCCGCCCGTGACCCGATCAGAGCCGCCCGTGACCCGATCAGAGCCGACGGTGACCCGGTCAGAGCCGACTGACCCGATCAGAGCCGACGGTGACCCGATCAGAGCCGCCCGTGACCCGATCAGAGCCGCCGTGGACCCGATCAGAGCCGCTACTGGTCTAAAATCATTGTTCTCCTTGGGACAAGGTTTCTTTGGGACTGGAATGATAACAGTCTTTTTTAGGGATGTCCCGATCTGATCACGTGGTTTCAGACTCGATCGGAATCGGACGTTACCTCCCGATCAGGACTCGGATATATGTAAATTAGCCGTGTAACGGTACATGTATTCGTAATTATTGATCCGTTTCGGTACGAGGCTTCCGGTTCGGTACGCATACAAACCGAACGATTCCTAGGACCATTTTCCTGCAGACAAAATCCGCGCTGGCGCGATCACCACAACGTTGCGCAACATCACATGGCAAACGTAATGAAAGCGGAACGAAACTGCGCTTCTCATTATATTGTGCTTAACGGATCGTTTATCAGTTTAGACCAGCAGCATCTGTGCAGCGCGAGATCCAGCGACACTGAGCTGAGAGATCCAGTGAAGAAAACATTTGAGTTCGCCACTGAAGTAATAACATCATCTCGAGATCTAGTGAGAAGCGTTCACATCTCTCCGTTATCAACCGTAGAAGGTTAACCAGGAGAAACATTGTGCCGTAATGAACATGGATTTAATGTTGCACTTCAAAACTCAAATATTATATAAATATATATTTAAATGTTTCTCTGTTTCTTTGGTAATGTGATTACCAAAACATTATTTGTTCATCCTTCAAAGATTTCCCCCATTTATAAACCTGAAAGTTTCAAGATGTAGGAAAAGTCAAACTTATTTAAAAATAGTTTTTCTTTTAATAAATAGGAAATTTCTCTGGCATTTCTTTCTTTTTGCTGTATCGTATCAAACCGAACCGCAAATTTTGTGAACTGTTACACCCCTAATGTATATAGTATATATTGTCCTTTTTTTTTTTATACACTTTTAAAACATTTTTATTTTTTGTTTACATGCCTGCCGGGTATTTTAAGTTGAGGTGCTATTAGTTTTTATATTAGACTTTTTCTATATTTACTGTTGCACCAGGGTTTCCGTTATCCGGTAATTACCGGACATTGGCCGGGAAAAAAATGAAATGTCCGACAAAATAAATCTCTCCAGTCAAATTGTCCGATTAAAATTGCGTAATAATCCCGCCCCCTAACACAATATGAATTTGAGAATAAGCCTAAAATGTATAAAGCAAAAATACACCGACCTTTGGCTATGTTATAAAGGAACAGCCTCTACCGTTTGAAAGTTATTAAACAACATCGCATGCTGCATTTCAAATAAAGCGCACGCCTGGAACGGCTGTAATATAGACCTAAACACCGACCGATTGAGTGAGACGGTTCAGATATGGCCAGGCCCAGGCAGCCTTAAAGGAACACTCCACCGTTTTTTTTATTTTAAATTGGGGTTATTCACGGTCTCCCCTACAGTTAGATAGGTGGGCAAATGCATGTTTGGAAGCACAGGCGAAGCACTGGGCGCAGAGATATCACGCAACACCGGAAATAAAGCTTGCCACAAATAACCGGCGAAAGTAATGATTATGCATGAAACATTTGAATTATTGATAAAGCTGATAAATTAATAAAGTTGACGATGCAGACTCGCCATCTTCGCAGTAGTGAACACGCCTATAGAGAGAAGTGTGCACGCGCCGGCGCCTCCGTCCTGATTATATTGTCCACTATATTTGCTTCTTATTTATTTTATGAATAAAAGCTGCACTTGATATATTGTTCGAACCCAGGGAGTGCTAATTCAAGTTTACAGTGGTTGCAGTCGCCCATTACGAACACGGGGCGGCCGGAGCGCGCTGCAGTTCTCCGTGTACACAGTTAGCAATGCGAGCTGCGGCCCTAGCGATCCCGCTTGGGGGAATGTACACAACGCACACGGCCACACTTCCGAACTCCCCTGGGAGGTAAAACGGCCTCATAGTCAAATGCAAAATCTCAACATCCGGACAGCAAAGTGTTTCCCTAACTGTGAACTGTTGCACCAGTTGTTACTTCCATACACAGCCATGCCGCCACCTCTTGTTTGACAAAGGAAAATCCATCGATGTCGACCAGGGAGTTCTGGATATCCCGGTGTAACCACGT